AGATAGATAGATAGATAGATGATAGATAGATAGATAGATAGATAGATAGATAGATAGATAGATAGATAGATAGATAGATAGATAGATGATAGATAGATGGATGGATGGACAGATAGATATAGATGAATGTTATACTATTTTCTCTTTAATTGCTTGTACATCTAAAATTAAAGCACATAGCCAATGTTATAAACAAGAGAATAGAAAGTGATGTATTTCATATTGCATCAACTGAGTATTTGAGTGTATGAAAACACAGATTGACCTCAAAAGGTAAAATGCCTGTGGAAAAATCTAACAAACTTCTGAGGATGTGTCTTGTATTTCCTTTTGTGAGTTCCACTGGAAAGGTACAGTGAGGTCTCTGCCCTGGAAGATCCTGGTGGAGAGCAGATTACTCACTTGTATTATCTGTTCTTGTCAGCTTCCTACGGGCTACAAGGAAGAAACTGTTCTGGCACGTCCTAGACTCTGGGGCAGGACAGAATTGCTATGTGGGTGGACCAGGTAGACAGCTCCCTTTTGATCCTTTCTCAATTGGCATTCCTGAAAAAGAGCAGGGGAAAAAACCATTAAACCCAGTGGGCTTCTGTTAGCACCAAGAGTGAGGTTTAATAAATCAAGATTCAGTTTCAGTTATAAAAAAGATAAAGTCAGTTGTGATGGCTGCTCTCCTCCCCCTCCGACATTCTGTTTTCAACAACATGCCTAACACCTCCTTTTATCACAAAGGCTTCATCCTAGGCCAGGGCCCACCCTGTCCTGAGCTCCATGTCTCTAACCATTCTCCTCATTGACAAGAACATGTTTTGCCTTAGCTCCAGACTAACACACACAATCGTCATGCTCAACTATTGCCTTTCTCACAGAGATAGAGGACAACGTGAGTAGAATGGCTTCTGTCTTGGACCGGCAGCAGGAAACTGGCACTAAATGCCTTAGGTTGTTACCTACGACATCGAAAAACTCCACCCACCCACTTATTTACTTGGAGATATTGGAAGAGGTCCCACCACATGGAACTCAGGTCTAGATATGAGGGGTGAAGCTGTGAATAAGCAGGGAAAATCCCAACCCTCTTGAGTACATTCTAGTCGGCATAAAGCAGATCCGAACATAAGGGAGGGATGCCCCCCACCTTGAGAATTTCAAAACTGTGATAGAAGCAAACAAAACAAGGAACAATGAAATATTTTCTCTCCTGGAAATCTTCTATAAGAAGTTATGGGTTTTTATTTGAATATGGGAAATAAAGAGGTTAAAAGAACCTAAATATTGTCATATCACGGAGAGAGACATCTCCTCCGTGATCAGTCACATATCTGACTCTGACAGTGTTCCCATAAGCTTATAATAGCACAGGTGTAAAGAAGGTGCACCACCTACATTTATCCACCGACCCTTTATCACGGTCACACACTGATAAACACGTGCACATGTTTATCTTTCAAGATGTATCTCCACCATTAAGAGGCATGGATCTATGTCTAAACATTCCTGGTCCTACAAAAACATAGCTAATCTCATGAGAAACTAAAAATAAGCCATGTATAAAGTTGTTGAAAGGTCTCTAATGAAGGTGCCCAGCCCAGTGCCTGCCATGTAGCATACTCAGTTAAATCAATCATGGGAGAAAAAACAAAACTTAACTAAACTAAAGGGCATCTGACTTTACTTACCCAACCCTCTGCTCTGGGAATCCAGGCTACCTTGCCTACACAAAATAAGTCTGCCCGTGCAGGGATTAACTGGTAACATTCTACATGCTCATTTTTCACATTCTGATTTTCATTTTTATGTTTTTCTCCCATATCAAAATGGAAAGATTCTGCATGAGAAAAATCTTTGTAAGTAGCTTGTAAATCAGAAAATTAAAAGTGCTTTTATAGTAGATAAAACTTAATGGCTCAGAATTTGGTTTGATTATATTTTAAAGCCCTGAGAGTTAATGTTACTGAGATGTGCAAAGGATAAAATAAGAATGTCATTATCCAAATCCACCCAAATATATTTTTCTCTTGCTTCATGGACAGACGTGCCATCACATATAACATCTTTATATGAAGTGTGGTGGCCAATCTGTTACATAGAAGACACAGCCATGCTCACTTCCTTCACATCCACAGGTATGCAGTAGCTCATGCCTTCTACACACGCCTGAGACCCTGTGCAGTCATTAACTTCGCCAGTTCCATGATTATTCTTGCCAATGTGCTTGATTCAAAGTAGCACAACTTACAAGTACTTAATTAACTCAAATGAGAGACCCAGAGAATGTGATGCATGTAGACCTGAAGGAAGAATTAGAAGGCTTCAAAAGAGAAGTTTAGGACTTTAATGTCTATACCATGAATCAGGGAATTGCTATCGTGTGTAGATTCTGGAAGGTTCTGAAAGAAGGGGAATGCTAAGGAAGACAACACAGCATAATGGCAGCATGGGGGTGGGTTCTTATTCCTGTCTCAAACAAGCAAACAAATAAACAAACAAAAACCCTGAAGTCCAAGACTATCCTGCAACTTGTTGGTTCAGGATATAGTCTTGGACTTCCTGATGAAAACTTTATCAAGGTAAAATGCTTTTTTTAATAAATTCATGTTTAGAGTATGCATTCTACAAAGTTCACCAAGATAATTTCTCAGGCAGAGCCATCATGTGCAGCTGGAGTCTTCCTGTGTCCACCCAGCTCCTGTAGCTGCTCAGACCCAAGTAAACATACAGCGACTTATATTACTTATAAACTATATGGCCAAGGCAGGCTTCTTGATATCCAGTTCTTATATCTTAATTAACCCATTTCTATTCATCTACAAGTTGCCACGTGACTTGTGACTTACAGATACTTTTACAACTTGCTTCCTCTTTGTCTGGCTAGTGACTCCTGACTCTGCCTTCCTGTTCCCAGAATTCTCCTCTCTGCTTATCCTGCCTATACTATACTTCCTGCCTGGCTACTGGCCAATAAGCATTTTATTTATCAATCAAATCAGAGCAACACATTCATAGCATACAGAGCGATATCCCCAGCAATCATGGGCATCAGGAAATTATCTTCTGTTACTCTAAAATTGTATCAGACACTCAATTGCTATTACAAAAAGAGGCATGATCATATTTTCAGAGAAAATCTCTCTGAAATTTGACTTCAATTAATCTATAAACTTGAAGAAATAAATTAACTGGAATTGATATCAATACTACCTCAAGGAGTCTACAAGATTTAATGCAATTTCTATCACAATTCCAGTGGTATTTTAACATAATGCATTTGATGGTTAATCTTGATTATTAACTTAATTAGATATATTGAAGATATCTGAGGCATTAGTAGAGCCCTCTCCAAGTGTGAGTGGGTGTGGGTAAATGTGGGTATGAATGGGTGTTTATGTGAACATATGTATATGGATGTGTGCACAAGGAACAAGCATGTTTCTAAGGACTATTAGATTCTGAGGACTCTGACATAATAAATTAATTCACTGATAGATTGAAAATTTGGATAGACTATTGAGAGGTGGTAGCATTATGAAGACCGAGTCATACTTGAGGACTTAGGGCTCTGGAGGGATGAGATTGACAGCTTTATCCTGCCCTTATCTATTCTGGTTATTGCTCCTCCATCCTGACTACCATGAGTTGAGCAGTAGCTGCTACATGCTCCCACTGTCATGCTGTTGTACCTTAACATGATTCTGCTCAGAACCAATGGATCCAAGGAATATGGACAGAACCTAGGGTGCAAAAGAAGTCCTTCTTCCCATAAGTTGCTTATATCAGACATGTTGTCTCAGCCATGAGAAAGCTGAACAACATTAATAAAATTAATCCTACAATTCATATGTAATATCAGATGACTATAAATAACTACAACAAATGAACAAGTACAGACTTAGAGATACCATATTTCCTGATTACACATTACATTATAAAGTTATAACAACAAAAGTTTAGATTTCTGGGTCAAAAAATACAGAACTAGACAACTGAAACATAAATGATAACCTAGAAATAAGCCACATTACATATATCAACTAATATTTGACCAGGTTGCCAATATTATACAACAGAGGCAAGAAACTTCTTTCAGAAATGGTACTGAGAAAACTGGATTCTAATATATAAAAAGAATAAATAAGGGGGCTGGAGAGATGGTTCAGAGGTTAAGAACACTGGCTGCTTTTCCAGAGGTCCTGAGTTCAAATCCCAGCAACTACATGGTAGCTCACAACTATCTGTATTGAGATCTGGTGCCCACTTCTGGCTTGCAGGCATATATGTAGGCAGAACACTGTATACATAATAAACAAATAAAGCTATGAACTCTGAACTTTAGAAATGATTTGTGTTTGGAAAAAAAAGAATAAATAAAATTCAGCAATAATCTTATATCATACACAAAAAATCAATACAAACAGAAAATGTTATAGGTGTAAAGATCTGAGATTAGAAACAAGAGTAGGAAACATGGACCAGTTTGACATCAAGGATCTTAGTAACCATGTGTTTTTAATATGGATCAAAGTGCAGCCTGCAAAAAGTGAACTTAGTCAATGAAAATAAGATGGAACAGAAGAGGGTCTCCATTGCAAAGAAAACAGTAAAACTGTAGAAATGCACCCTATAGAACCAGAGAAATATTTACAAATTATGTATTCTTAGATTAGTATTCAGAATTTTCAAGGAACTTATGGGACTCCTTAGCAATAAGTGAATGAGTGAGTGAATGAATAATTAAGCCAATTTTAAACACAGGCAGTTATGGATAGGCATTTTTCTAAAGGAGACATATAAGCAGCCAACAGGTCAAGGTAAAAACAAATTTAACATCATTAATCATTTTGGAAATGCTTTTCCAAATGTGGTTCAGTCAGAAACATGATGAGATATCACTCCATATCTGTTAGAGTGGCAATTAGCAAAATGTGAAAAAATAACAAGCATTGGCAAGGATGTAAAGAATTAGCAGCCAACACATTGTGGATGATAATGTAAGTTGGTGTAATCATGAAAAACAGTATGAAGATTCCTCAAAATTTTAATGTTAGGATAATAACTAAATAATCCAGTATTTCTAGTTCTTGGTATATAGGTAGTGGATATGAAATCAGTGTGTTAAATGGTATCTCTGCTTCATGATCATTGGCTCGTTACTCACAAATCCAAGAAAAGAAAATAATCTAAATGTCCATTCACAGATTGGGTAAAGAAAATGGAGAGTATATGTACATGTGTACACACACACACACACACACACACACACACACACACACACACACACATACAAATAGTTACTCAGGAATGGAGTGGGGCAGGAGTTTAGGAGACATGGGTCTTACTTAGGTAAACTTGTAGTTCTAAGATGATAAATTCTGGAGATTGTATACAACATGGAGTCTGCTTCTGAGAAGAAAATAGTATGTACTTCAAATCTGTTTGCAGAGAACCTCTCAAGTGTCATTAACATACATACATATGTAACTTCAAGGTAATGGATACGTCATACTCTTTCTGTGGAAACTGTTTCACAGTATATACATACATCAAAA